ATAATGACCAGCGAAATTTCACTGAATAACCCGGTAGTTAATATAATTAACGTGCAATTAACCTTTTTTGTCGTTAAATCGTTGTATCCTATTATCTGAAAATAAGTTTCTTATGAATTGCATGATCTGTCAGATTTAGGAAACGTACAATTACTTTTCCTAATTTTAAACACTTCAAGTGTTGGCAGACGGAGAATATTCTTTTTTAAATTTTAATTGCCAGTAAGTGATACTGTTTCCAGCAAGTGGATTAGTTTTATCGATTCAGCAAAATTGAACAGAAATAAAATCAACTTCGATCCTTACTTGATGACACATTTTTACTGTATTGTAAAATTATACAAGCATGAGCTATATACCTCAACTACTTTTAGTTTATTTTTCAGTGACATGATATTTAAGGTGGAGTATCCCTTTAATGTTAATCTAATAGTAAATTTTATTCACATAAGCGTAAATCAAAATCGTTTGTAACACATTTTGTCTTACAAAAATGCTAAAAAAATTTAAAATACGCCTGCAACCTTGTATTTAAACGAAGACACAATGGCAACATGTTTAATATTTTTAATTTCGCGTTACTATATACCGAATCAATATTAAAACTTATTGTGCTACATTCACTTACTCACTGGGCTATTAACCTAGTCAGATACGTGAGACAAATTCCCAATAATCTTATGTAACGACTTATTTGAACAAGAACTATTGTTTGGTGAATAGAAAGTATATATATTTCTTTGCAGCTATAGCGGATTGTGTTTCGACTAGACGTAGTAGGTGCTATTTCATAATATATAGTATAATGTTATCATCATAATAATAAAATGGTTGTAAAACTGTCCAGGTGGTGATTCTTCCGGAGTATTCTTTACAGAGATCGTAATTAATTTCAACAATTTGTGACACAAATTTAGAGAAATTACAAAAATTCCATGAAATTGCGTAAAAACGAGACTAAATTTTAAGAAAAACAAAGTATTTAGGAGATAATTCTTCTTGCTTATCTATAAAGGGTATTCTACTCTTTTCTTTAAACCCTATATTATTGTTTGCCTCAGGTAATCCTTTGATAAGTCGAATCCAATGTTTGCAAATATGTCGTCTTCACTAAAGGCATTTTAACTTTCACTGACGACCCTGCCAAAAAACTCCTAAGCCTGCGCAATATAATGGTACGAGTTCCACTTGCGTTGCCGATAGTGCCGCTGCGCACATTTTTAATCATGTGGAGTGGGGTAGAGAGCTAGGCCTCTGGTACGTCTCTGGCACTACTGCGCGTGCATCTACGCTTACGCAGCAGTGGGAGTTGGGCGATTGTATCGCCTGCGCGTGTTTCTAGATCTGTGGAGTGGGGCACAGAACGTGGCCTCAGGTACGTTCCCGACACGACTGCGCGCGGCCTCATGTCTGCGCGGTTAGGAGAGCGGGTGTGGTTTCACGTTCATCTGCGGTATCGTCAATGCCATTGCTTTGCTTTTAGATTGCGCGGTGATGTTTCACACAATCTTCTTTCACGTCGTTGCTTGTTAGGAGAGATAACAGGTTCTACCCATACGAAAGTCTTCTTCATGGCTTTTATTTTTTGAATTTTGTTCATTTATATCACTACAATAAATGTTTTATTTGTAATTTGATATTTCAATTAGAACTTTTAAGACTTCATTTACAATAGTTCATTTACACTATCGTTTCTATACTACCTATGATTGTCTAAAATTTTTAATTAAATTAAATAAAATTAGTTCAATTATGACACTAAATAATATTAACCATTAAAGTGACATTTACAAATCCATATTGAGAATTTGACTAGATAAAAGATAAAACATTTATAAGACATTCGTGTAAAAATCCTATTTATTGCACTCACATAGCTTTTGGAATCAAATCGTTCGTGTAATAAAGAATGATTTTACCACCATATTGTAAGTAACTATTATTTTAATAATTTTTAGGCAAAATTACACTCACTCTCACTAGTATGGATAAATACGTAATTGTGTTTTTCAGTATAAAATGTATTATTCAATTCTTTACTGTATAAATTTTCATATTTATTGTGTTTGAATAAAAACAAATATAAATGCATTCATTTTAGGTGTTGCAGAATGAAGTACAGGTTATCACACCCAAACGTATTACTCTAACAAATATTTTAATCCACTTTCGCTTCTTTTCCAAACTCTGCCACTCCTGTCCTTATTCGAGCGTTAGACCTTGACACAAATAGGAAGTAATTTAATAATTACATAAAGATATTAAACATTTAAAATACATATGGCTGTATCCACTTACATGGCTTCAGATTATAAGAAAATATATAAATTTCCATGGCAACTACACTTCCAGTGGCTCAGAATATGAGATGAAATATAGTTTCTTAAAATATAAGGAAACCAATCCATTGAAAAATACTTATAATATTTTACAAAACGTATTGGTGTGTATGTGTTCCACTTTGAGCACTTTAGATATTTATCAATATCAAATTTCATTTTGATAGATCTCTTATAAATATTTCATCACATTAAGCTGTTTTAAAATAGAGTTTTCTAACAACCGATGGCCTTTACACATATTAAAAAATTTGATCTATTAATATTGTTTAGATGTAATACAAAAAGATCCTAAATGACAAACCTGTCTTAATATTGATTATGTTATAATGATATACTTCTTTAAAAATAAAGAAACTAATCAATTTATTATTTTCCAGAAGGGTATTAAATAAAATACTTAATATTTTTAATGGACTATTCAAGTGATTTACAGTATTCAAACGATATGATGCAAATGTACGGAATAAATTCATTATTTCAAAAATAACTTATCAAAAAAATCTTAAAACACCTCAATTTAAATTCAATACCGTTGGATAGACGATTAGGAGACCTTTCAAATGGGGTGTCTCCCCTGTTTGTATTTAAGAAAATCTTCAATTACGTCATTACGTCAACACTGGTAATGTAATGGCTCTTAAATGTATTTTACAAGATGGCCTATTAAAATTTGAAATAGGATTTTTTTTTAAGTCATCCGATTTTGAAACAATGAATTTATTGCATACCTACATTTGCATCATATTGTATATTATGTTAAAAGCGTACTTTTTGTATAATGAAAATGGACAACCGGTAAAAATTTTACACACGTATTGGTACGAAGATAAAAAAAATTCTAAATGAAGTTTATAAATACTTATGATAAACACCAAGGGGTGATCATCTAGCATATGTGGTTAAAATGTGTTAGAAATATAGCTAAATGTAGCTAATTGACCATTTAAGCCTAAGAAATTTTAAGGAAATTTAGCAACAAATCTGGTTTTGGTATACACATTTTGTAAGGTCCTTAATCGATATTTATGTATACCTACGTTTATGTTTATGTTTCATATCAACCGAAACACCGTTCTCTCCAAAGGTAAAAGCAAGGAAAAACACGTTTAAGATCTCAAAATGTTTGTATACTCAAGAGATTTCGAATAAACGATTGCCACTTGAAAATTTCGAAATTCAAAATGGCGGCCACAAAATGACTATAATTAGAAATAAAAAAACAAAATTGTTCAGTACCAAGCTTAAAATCAACTATTCATGGAAAATACTCCAGTCTAAGCTTTATGATTTTGGACATCCTGAATCCGAATTTCATATTTTTAAAGTCCAAAAGTGGTACATACATTTTTGATAATTTTTTTGTTTTTTTAGATCATATCTCCCTGGAAAAAAGATTTTTTTGTACAAAAGTAGCTTCTTTTAAGTTTTTGACGTACCTACTGACTGAGTTATTGGATTATAAAGTCTAAAAAAATTAGGGCAATTAAAATGGGCCATTTTTTAATCATTTTTTGACATTTTTGACCATATTTCTCCGGAAAAAAGGATATATAAGAATCTATTTTTATGTTTGTTGACATACTGACTTAGATTTTTGTTGTCCTGAAGACTAGTAAAACTTGGGTGATGAGATCTGATTTTATTTTACCATTTTTTAGCATTCTTTGACCGCATCTCTGATAAAAATGACATTTGTTTAGAAAAAGCTGTTTTTTATGTTTTTGAAATCATAATTTCGATTATTGGGATCTTAAAGTACAAACAAATTTGGATTGTAAGAACAGACCATTTTTTGACAATTTTTTGGCATTTTTATACCGTTTTTTCAATCTCACGGCTTTTATATTGCAAATTTCGTAATCGGACCACCGCCATTTTGTAACTATTTTTATTACGAATAAATCATGTCTTAAGCATTTTTTCGTACAACTCATCCCCCTGAGTTACTTAAAGAAAACTACTAAAAAAAGCGAATTTTCGCAATTCAATTGTTAATAACTTTAGTTCCTTATAACTTCGTCAGCAAATCACCACGAGGACAGACTCTCCAGCAAACACTCGAACCGACAACACGTCTTTTTTCACAAGCTTAGTTTTCAACAAAAATAGTCTATTTGTACCGTTGAGAGAGCGTTTTATTTTTGCTGTACAGCGAAAGTAACCCTCAGTACTCATCGTAGACCTGTGTAGTTATTTGCGGGTTATCAAGAAAATGTCACCAACAGTAACTTTTCGGCCTCTGTCGACTGGACTACTAGTGATCTATGCATGTTATGTGTAAATTCAGGGTTTCAACATGTTCTTTATTAAAAAATCGCTTACACATATACGAATATTGGGATGCCCTGTATAGTTAAAAGAGTAGAATTATTGCAAGTAGAAACAATTACAAAATTTCCTACACTGGAAATCCCTTTTTTTTTGTTGTGATAGGTCCCAATCAGCCAACCTGACCTTGACTTTGTGTTTACAAATAAATTGAATTAAAACACTCGAAAACCAAATCTGTCTCAGCGTATCACATCTAATTATGCTGAATCATTCCTTAACGCATGGTTATCCAACGCGACAGCCTTGAAGGCGAGGAAAAATTGCATTCAACCGTTTCCTTTCCCTTTCATAGGCTATTAGGAGAGTAATGACTATATATAAACTTACAATGTGATCTGTATTTATGTAATTGTTCAAGTACAAAAAGTTCAGCCACCAGTTCTTTCTGCAGTCCTTGGAATCTTCACCTGCTATTACTTTCCACAAAGGACCGTCCCCCACGTGGGCGAAAATCGTGGCGTAGTAGAATATCACAAAGGCGTACACAGGTGTTAATCTGGAAAATACAAAGGGGGAATGTTAATATTAAAAAATCTAAGGGAAATTTTCACTAAAAAATAATGACCTTATTTCACATGAATATTGGATGAAGTGTCAACGGGGCCAAGTGATTTAAAAATTGCTGACTTTTTCTTGTGGGGTTATATAAAAAGTAAAGTTTATTATTAACTTCCCACTGCAATGCAAGATGAGCGAAATCGAATAAAAACAACAAGCTTTTAGAGATATTTATCTGATATTCTTGATAGCGTTGATGATGGTTTTAATAAACGTAATTGATTATATAATCAGTAAAATGGTAGGCCTTTTGTAGGGCCGGTTTAGAGGTGGGGGGGAGGGCCACGGGTGCTGCAGCCCTGGGCTTCACGAGATCGTGGGACCTCGGCAAGATCTGTCAAAATGAATTTTACCACCAAAAAGTGTTTAGGTTTTGAACTTTTATATCAACAAGTTGCTAATTGCGTCACCTTTTTTTACAATTAAGCAAAAACCTTTGAAATTTAATATCGTTTTTTTTTAGAAAGAGGGCCCGAGTAAAGCTTGTAGCGCTGGGCCTCATCATAATCTGACTCTGGCCTTTTGAACTATGTTTTTAGTGTTTTCCCAATAGATTATGTGTAGTTTCTTGTTGCTGACTGAATGTGATCTAATTTTTATATTAATTGTGGTTACTTTAACAAAGAATGTATTCGCACATTGTTATAGACGCATTTATATTATTAACATTTACGTTGAATGCATAAAATTATTTTTCTTAGTCTATTTTGTTTAAATGAAATTGAATTTTACATTCACTTGTGGGGCATTCACCACTACACAGTGGTCGGAAATCCGAAAAAGCTGGACAAAAGTCCAAAAAGACTTGCATCATCACCAAAAGTGTCCCCACTTTATGTTTTTCAGGTCGCTAAAGCCGAATTTACAGTCAAAAATCTCAAATTCAAGATGGCTGATACAAAATGGCCGATATATTACTTAATTTATTGAATTTAATTGAAATCTCGAGTGCCTTTGGTAATGAGGTCGCGTAAAACGTATGTAAGATCGAAGTTTGAGGTTTTTGAGGTAATTAATTATTATTAATAAAGTACGAAAGGTAAATATCTGCGATATAAGGCATGTATTTGGAATGAATTTGTGATTTCGAACGAAATAATTTCTAAATACTATTGAAGCTTATTCTTGTTATAAAGCTTATTCTAATTATTTAGCTAATTCTAATACACATGAGTCATTCGGATCGTCATCACCTGTCACATATCCGTCAGAGCATGAAAATATTTTAAAAGCTTTTTTTATTTTCATGTTGCATCTTTTTAAAAAAGGTTGATCTAAAATGATGATTTGCATTTCTAAATTCTCTTGGAGTTTTCTTTTCAAAAATCGAAATATTAATTTTTTCATTCACGTAATTTTACTGGTGCCTGATCCTGTCGAAAATGATAAATTATGAATTGAAAGATCATAGACAATAAGTTCATATATAATTTTCTTCATTTTATGTTCGTATTCTTCTCAGCAAATCCTTTCATTTGATACCATATCATGGGGGTGCACAAAAAATAACTGGTCCGCCATCTTTGGGAGTCCGCCATATTGGATTTAAAATGACGTCACTTAGCTAACATTGCATTGTCATCCAAACTAAACGTGTATGCAAAATTTCAGCACAATCGGTTGGGAAAACTGTTTTAAAATTCAGTTGCAAAATGTGACCCATACTAACAAGGCAAGGTAAATAAAAGCTTGTAAAAATATGATAAATGGCACACGAAAAAGGTGCATGTTCATAAAAAAAACAATTTGAATTAGAAACGCTCGTTTGGAACGCGAAGAGACACTAAAACGCTAGCCATTATATAACTAAGGCCTCTTACAATAGTAAATCGGCCGTACAAAGAGGCACAAAAAATGACTCAGAACCCCAATCCGGAAAAATCCGGTGGTTTTCTCTTTTGATATATGAAATTGACACTTCTGTCCGCATTTTCCAACTTTCAATAGTGCAGGATCTCTTGGGATTCCAACTATTTCGATAATTTACGATTGATGTGATTTGAAATCGATGGAAATTGCAAGACGTTTTTGTTAAAACAATAAAAACATGTATCTTTCGAAAAATGAGGTTCTAAATGAGCAAATGTATTCTACTTAACTCCAGGAACACCCTCCCTATTGCACACAACGATTCATACTCTAGTAAAAATTTGCACGTATTTTCAATTCACCGCTTTTCGAGGGGTCAGTGGCAAGTGAAATATGCTAATGTGTCACAGCATACTTCCGATAGTTGCTGTGGTCTATACACATGGGCCAGCTCTCTGTCACTTTAAAGAACTACGCAATGACTCCTTCTCTAGCATATTCTGAAGCAAACCAACGACTTTGAAATTTCGACTTTTGTCCAGCTTTTCCGGAATTCCGACCACTGTGCACTACCCTAAAAACGGCACTGAATTTTTTTTTAAATATATTTGAGAAAACTCAAAAAACATTTTTAGAATACGTGTTAACAATGATTTCATTATTTCTATTATAAAGGCTGTTACAAATTCGCTTCTCACTACAGAGATCTCGGAAACGATAAGAGATACGAAGTAGCTGAAATGGGGATAAAGTTGTATAATCAGGGGACCAACATTATGACTAAAAAATCAAGGCTAACCTGATTAGTTTTCAAAATTTTTCCGTTTTTATTTAATTTCTGCCTTGTTTAAGATGATATTGAAAAAATAAGGACACTTTTTCATGGCAACTTTTTGTCCTCTATTGGCATAATCAATTTTTATATGTAACGTTTCGTCTCTCCAGGATCATCATCAACTTCGTTTTTTTAAATACGACCCTAGAAATTTTATCACATTTTTTTGCAAGCCTTCATGACCCCCAATACTGTACTGCCTCAGCCCGAACCAGATTCAGACGTGTTGTCTTGAAAAATTCATCTTCAATGTATTCGTTTCAAATTTATCTAAATTTTTTATTTAGATTTCTATGTTTATTGAATTATCGTACACTCTAAGTGTCCTTAGACCCTGTGAAATTTTAATGTCATTATGCCAAATTAATTCTTAAAAATGCATATGCACAACCAAAACTCCAAATGAATATTATACTTTAAAAAATTACAGTAAATGTTCAAAAACGTTTCCGTTTTGGCAAATGTTGAAAATTAAGGTAAGCATAATATGATCGCAATTTATTGTACCTGTAACTGCAACTGTGAAAGAGCATGTCAGATGTATTTGTTTCAATATCATGAAAAAAATTAGATCGACATTTGTTTGAATTTTGGGCACTCGAGAAACCTAGAAATAACTATGAGCACGGGATTAAAACTCCAATGTTTTATTGTAACGTGTGATGGTAATAGTTTGAATAACTAGTATAGGTGGATTTCGCAGGGTCTAACGACACTTAGAGTGTACAATAATTCAAGAAACAGAAATCTAAAAAAAAAAATTGGGTAAATTTGGAACGAATACATTGAAGATGAATTTTTAATAATAATAATTATAATTATAATAATCGACTTTATTGCTTTTCAATTCATACAAGTAATTGATATAATAATAATGTAAATAAAAGTATAAAGCAAAAGGCGAAGTTCAATTTATATGAGATAAATTGTTTTTCTACTTAACCTAAAAAAAATCATTGCTATGACATAGTTTATACATACATTTATGAAATTTGAACCTTATTACTGGATATAATATGTTGACATAAAATAACACTAATGATCATCAAATAATAATTGCCTATAGGATGTCTTAAATTTTTCAAAATAATAACTTTTGAAATGTGCAGACGAAACGTCTGAATCTGGTTCGGGCTGAGGCAGGACAGTATTGGGGATCATGAAGCGTTGCAAAAAGTGTAATAAAATTTTCAGGGTCGTATTTAAAAAAATTATGTTGATGATGGTCCTGCAGAGACGAAACGTTACATATAAAAATTTATACCATTCGATAGAGGTCAAAAAGTTGCCATGAAAGAGTGTTGTGTGTTCTGTTAAAAAAGTTATTGTTAACAAAAAATGATTTTAAAAAAATTACTTTTATATTATGTCGCCTTGTTTATTTCGATATTTCGAAAAAATTTTATGATTATTTTTCCTTTCCCTAAAATTTGATAAGAGGAAGTTCAAAAGAAATTGTAGCCAATAATTTTTGAATGAGAGCAAAATCAAAATAACTTAAAAAAATTTGAAGACGACTCGCTATTTTTTATAAGCGTGGTAATATAAAAGTAATCTTTCCTGGTATTTGGAATTTTATAAATTGTTTATGCAACCAGGTGTACACAGAGAGTAAGGACATTCTGCGAGCTATCATTAGTATTAATGTAGGTACTATGTTCCCTGTTATTAAATCAGAAATTATGTGTCGTTTCATTGTCAGCTGCACTTTTCAAGGTTTGTAATATTTAACTAGTGTCAAACGTTAATCTAAAATATATGTGGAAAGGCGTATAATAATATTTTTATATAAAAGATCATTCAAACTAGAAGAGAAGTGTGTTTAGACTGTAACCGATTGGTATAAAATTCTATTTCTTATAGAACATTACGTATAAAAATTAATTTGTAAATTTTCATATCCACGCTATCTATACAGGGTGCACAAGCCAAACTCTACAAAGCTTAGAAATTAAAAAAATGATATTTATTTAAATATCTCTATATCTATTAAAATATTTGACGTAGATTAATTAAATTTGTAGTAATGACTTAACTAGTAGTAATTATAGACAAAATGGCAAAAGATTCTGGGAGATACCGTTTCGTACACATTTGGCTTTTGATGAGACAAACTTAAAAAAAAAATGCATTTTTCTGATCAGACATTAGGGGCTTCCCCCGCCATTTCCGTCGAGAGATAGAACAAAATGTCAATAACAAAAGTTATGCGCAGTGAATCCGAATACGGAATACTATTTAAATACCTGAATAGGAAACATCTCTGAGAAAAATTCAACTCTGTTTTGGTATGA